GAGAGAGAGAGAGAGAGAGAGAGAGAGAGAGAGAGAGAAAGAGAGGGGAGAGAGAGAGAGAGAGCCGTAAAGGATCAACGTAGAATCGCAGGATCGACGATAGTGTCGCCGTGCGCGAATTTACATTTCGTCGCTCGTTGCTTCGCGAATTGCTTTCACGTCGATCGCTGCACTTCACGTGGTTCACGTGGCTGTAGATTAATTGCAGGCGTTTGTACGAGCCCGGGCTCGTTATCTCGTTCCCTTTCTCTCTCCTTTTTTGGTTGTTTTTTATTCTGTTTTTTTGCGGATGTGACGGGCGAGACGCGCGTCTTTCTCCTCACGGTGGTCTGCAAATTTATCGGTCGCGGAAGGACGCAACTCATTTGCGCGATTCGGCCGATGCTGTGTTCCGGACATTAACATGCGTGGGCGCGTGTCTTCGGACATTCCGAGCGTTTGCTTCCGAGACAGCGAGTAGGATGTGTTCTTCCTATAGGATCGCTACGGACTGTTACGCGCGTCCAGCTCACTTTTACTCGCATCGCGTGAATAATGTGCGTGCGTGAGCGTGCGCGTGTTAAAGCGCGTTCTGTGCGTGCGTCGGAATACAAAAGTGAGAGAATAGAGCAAAAGAAAATATTATATACACTATATATATATATATATATATATATATATATATATATACACATATATATATATAAATATATATATATATATATATATACACATACATATATATAAATTATTTAAAAAGGAGGCGATCGCGCGCAAGTCGTGGCGATCGCCCCTTCGCTATCATCACATGTTTTCTATAAGATTAATTGTTTTTTTTGTATAGGAACTTGTTGGTTTGACATTTTTTGAGTCATTTTTTGCGTACTCGGAGCGCATCTCTCTGTCTTTCTCCCTCTCTCTTTTTTGACCGATCAATAGACTTGTCGATTGATACGGACTCAAAGTTTCAGTAATTATATCCGATCCTCGGAATTTTTTTAGTATAACTCTGTTTCTCACGGTTTTATGTCTTTAATTACATACGGATAACTAATTATGGGTAAATGATTAAAAGATTTGATAAGTCGACCTGAGAAACAGGTATCAATTTTCTGTTAGCAGCTTGACAATTCTCGCGTATCAACGCGCGATCACTTTCGCTCATTGAGCTCGCCGATACCACGTCGTTCTCGATCGTGACGTGTGTACTTTGAGTGAAAACCAATTTGAATATTATTGGTTTTTACGCAGATTACTGATGAATTGCATAATAATAATTTAATTGCATAATAACAATAACGTAATCGCGATGTTAAGAGGGAGAAAGAAAGAGAGAGACAACGAGCGAGGGGAATAACCTCTCATATTTTTCTTATCATCGTTATATAGGACGGTTGGTTTTGCACACCGTCATCGTTATTACACTTATACTTTATATCTGCGCGTTTTTCTCGCCTTCTGACCTCCCTCGATATCGTCTCGCGTTACTATGTGACACCTTCGTTGTCGCGAATTACTCTCCTTTTTTCGGCCGTGCACGTGATCAGGGTCCGTTTTCTCTCTCCCTCCCTCCCTCTCACTTTTTCTGTTTTTCTTGTTTTTTATTTTGTCCTTTCGTATATTTTCTTACGTTGCGCTTTGGCGCACTGCATCTGCAGCCGGAATCTCTGGGGCCTTGATCGCGTCACGACCGTGCGACGAATCCTTCAACACTGTGCGATGGACGTAACGATCCGGGGCCGACGTCGAATTTGGCGATCTGATCGATCAGGATCGTCCTGCTGTCTCGAAACAGATGTCTGCAGCGCGAATGAAAGGTGTCGCGATCGTGAGAGCTTCTCTCTCTCTCTCTCCCTCTCTCTCTCTCTCTCTCTCTTTCTCTCTCTTTCTCTCTTTCTTTTTGTCTCGAAAGTCGAGGACATTTCTGGTACACCGACATTTCTGGTCAAGGAAGACCGGTGTTCGTTCTTTTGAAAAACGCGAGTATCGACGACGGCCACCCGCGATATCGTTACGTCGATCCGGCGTAAAAGCGCAAAAGCGTGCGCGCGTGTTCGTACCGCTTCTTTTGTCTCGAGTGCGAGTGATAAAGAAAGATAAACAAAGAAAGAAGGCAGGAAGGAAAAAAAAAGAGCAGAACGAAAGAGCCTTTTTCTCTCTCGGCCGATTCGCGGCCGAACGCGAAGGAGGAGGAGAAAGATCGATTATGCTAAAGTAAGCGATGCGCAATTAACTATACGAATTGATGTAAGCGAATGGAAAAATTAATACTTTTCATTGAGATGATATCTGGATTTCAATAAACTTGATACCTCGACATACCACCTCGCTCACTTCGCTCTTGTTCTATACGAACGCCTCGCGTCGCGACGACGAGGTCGAGCGTTTTCATCCACATCTCGCCGGTGGCGTTCCCTTTTTTCTTTTATTTCCATGCTGTAAGAGGCTTTTTTCGCCTAGGAGAGGGTGCTCTACGATTATGGCGATCGAGCGCGTATACTTCTGATCACGCAAGATTCGTTCGTTTTCTTCCTCCCCGTATGAGTCTTGCACTAATAAAGCAAGAAGAGAGGAAAACAAACGAATTTTTCGGTCGATTTTGACGAATAATTACGTGTCAGATAAAGAACGTCAAGTCGCAAGTTTGTCAAATAGAGTCCGATGTTCCTCTCTCGCTCTTTTTCTCTCTCTCTCTCTTTCTCTCTCTCTTTCTCTCTCTTTCTCCCTCGAACGACGAGAGGTGATTTCGCGATCGCCAAAATCGATTCGTGAAGAAGCCGGCCTCAAGTGGATAGAAACAAGAGCAAAGGTAAATCGCATGTACCTTCAGAAGATACATCTGACACGGGAAAGACGCGGGACAACCGTGATCGTTCGCCGACACCGGACATCCCGACGATGTTAAGCTTCTCCTCCTCGTAGAAGTCGATACCGAAATGTGAGTAGATATATATGTGTATCTGTATGTGCACGCACATATACAGGGTGTTCCTCGGTTTCGACTCTCGCAGGATCGTTACCTCCTTCGTTCGCAGCGCGAATGTGATTTCATCGAGAGAAACAAAATTCTCCGATTCCGGACGCTCGGCCGCGAAGCTCAACCGGTTGAAAGCGATGACACTCTGTATATATACATCTGAGTATACTTTTTTATGGATTCCTCCGAACGAAGCTGTTGTTCGGTAATATTTAAGTCGGAAAGCGTTGTGGCAAAAGTCAATTTTATGTAAGAGTAGAACGAACGAAACTTCCGAGACTCGCGAATTCTTACCGCTCAAATCTGTTCTCCGTGCAGTAACAATGTTGGGAAGACTTGCGTCAGAACTCTATGAGAAAATTATACGAATCGTCAAATTTGATTTCTTTTTATTATTACGCGCTTTATGCCAGTTTTATTTATGTATGTGTATATCAATGTGAATGCGGGACATATCTTTGTAAAACGAATGTTTAACGTGTTGTCTAATGTATATGTATGTGTCTAAATAGGTGTAGAAGGGTTAATCGCTACAAGTAGATGATACTCTAAAATTGATAGCTTATAATTCGCTCTCTCTCGTTCACTCTCTCACTCTTTCTTCTCTCTTTCTCTCTGTTTTCTCTCTCTCTCTCTCTCGCTTTGGCGATTCAAATACACTTGCTGCGTTCGTGCGTCGCGTTAAAACATCGCTATACATATGTTTGTTTCAATTGCGTAAGAAGCACAGTTATCTTCGGATGTTGTGGTTCTCCGACACACATCCGAGCGAAAAATTCACCGATTCAACACGGTAAAGCGACTTTAGCATATTGTTCATTCAGTTGGCAAGAATTCAATCGGTTTGACCGGAATTTTTTCTTAGATAGCGTGTGTCTCTACTCTCTCGTCTGTAATTTTCTTCTTGCTCTTGGCTCTCCGTCGAACTCATTACTGGTTTCATTTTACGCGCGGATAAAGTGTGCGGATGTGTCGGAAGAAATATTTTCGATTCAGAGAGGCTGAGTATGCTTGTCGCGTCGCTCTATACCCGCTTCTTCCACGGCGAACCGATGACTGAACTGAACTTAAAATATCGAGATACCTCGGAGCGTTCTCCAGCAGCAATAACAGAGCAGTAGCTGCGGCAATAAACAGCAGCGACTACGACGGCAAACGATCGCAATAAGAACGCGGCATTATTTTACCCGCGCACCCCTTCATTGATAATCACGAATCATTCGTATCGTGTAACACGTGCAACCGACTCTGAAGTTCTTATTACGAGCTTATTAATAACTTCTTTTTCTTTCTTTTTTTTTTCTGCGAAAACCGCTTCTGTCAAAGAGAACGGGGCGGAGGTAAGTATCGCTTTGTATTCATCGATTAATTGCAAAGAATTTACCGAAGTATACTAGCACCCTATCATCGTTCACTACGCATCGAGTCGCCTTTTTTGCGATAGCATTGCTTTGCAACGTGAAGAAAGATGTATTTGTCCTCTTGCTCTCACGTTTTTCACATGTGCTTCTTTCAATGGATTTCACGTCGATTAAAATTTCTCGTCTTGCTGAGACGACGAGACGCGAGTCGTGTTGAGATGTATTCATGATCGTGACCTTCTTAATTAAAAAATCGCGATAGTTATTCGGAAGCGTTTGCGATTCAGAGCGAGGGAAATCCGAATATACACGCATAGCGCAGATCTCGACCTGATGATTTCGACGAGAGACTCGGGAAAAATCGTTCGTACGATTAAGAAAATAGAGAAAGAGAGAGAGAGATTAAAATAATAGAGTAAGAATTATTTAAAATACAATAGAGTAAGAATTATTTAAAAAAGGGGGTAGAGAGAGAATGCCGCGAGAGGTGAGACCTGATCACCCTGTGACCCTAATAGGTGACGCATCATTGGGGTGGCATCCAGGGAAGAGTGTCGTTCACGACTGAAAGAACAGCAAAAGACTCAACACTTGCTGTATCGTTTCTAATCGTTTTCCTTTTTCAGATTCCGACAACGAGACTGTACTATCGCCGAAGACTAAGCAAAAAGCGGCCCTACGCTGCGACCGCGCCGAGCAGCAGCGCCTGGAGCAGATCCAAGCGGAGAGTGCAGCTTATTACGCTTATAAGCCTGACGAGTCAGATATGCCCACGACCACAACTACCAGCAAGCCCAACTGGCACGGTAGGAGGCATTTGCTGAGCATCGTCAATGACAAGCAGTCGGAAAAGAGCATGGACTTTAAGGTCCTCAGCCTTAGGGAGATCCGAAGGAGAAAGAGGGAGAGACTGGCTATCGCAGCCGATATTTCGACTTCGGACGCGTCTCAATCTACAGAGGATACGGAACAGCTACCGACAAGTTCCACTTGCGAGCAGGACACGACATTATTCGCGATGCCGGTCGAGCCAGCGGAGAAGTCGACCGAGCAGGACCAGACGTTCGTGTCTCCGCTGGGGAAACGCAAGCTTAGTGAAACCGACTTCAAGCAGACCGCAGGTCCAGTGAAACTGCGAAGGTCCTTGAAAAGCAGCACGACGGTTGAACCGCGTGTCGATGCTGTAAGCGAAGGCAATGAGACGGAACGTCGCGAGGAGCAGCTGAACGACGAGCAACTGAACAACGAACTGTTCAACAATAAGCAGCTGAACGAGGAGTGCCTGGTTGACGAGTATATCAGGTTGGACGCGACGTCTGAGGATATAATTAAAGACATAGACGACTTCCTCGTGTAGAAAAATATAAATGGATTCTGTACATAACATGTACATAATTGTGTAGCATTATGTAGATATAAGAAGAGAGGGGGGAGGAGTGTAGCACAGATTATATAGATTATACAAATCGCGTAGGAGATATGTAGTACAAATTGTACTGCTGGTGAGTAGTTTCCAGAATCCGGCCTCGACATGGTGTTGTTACGAGATGGAAGGACTCTGCATTCTTACGTCGAAAAAAAGAATGAAAAAAAAAAATCGATAAGTGATAGGGAAGTCATACGGAGCGAAGAGAAAGAGGAATGCGAGGCGTTATAGAACGTTTGTTTTCTGTGATACTCTTTCGCTGGAGGCCGCTATATATAAGCATCACAATGTTGTGATTAACGCGGTATTTAACGGAGTATATTTGTTGGAATATACATTCGTCGAGTCGAGATGCTTATGTGACGCTGTGTTTCGTATCGCGTCTTCTCGCTAAGGTAACTTCGTGTATAGCAGCCTTCAGCGGTCGTGCACCAAGACAAAGTGGTGCGGGCGGCTGGAGTCACTACCGCAGAATCTTTTAAGCGAGAATGAACTATAGTGACCAACTATAGTGGAGAAATGATGATTGCACGACGACGATATTGCACGTTGTGAATGAGTGAACGTGAATACCAGTGCGATATTGTCATTCGATTGACGAGCGAATATAGCGAATTATTTTTACTATTTTATCATCGTGTATTGTATGTTTTCTAAGGTAGCTAACGCGAGTTAATCAGAAAACTAGCCAGTAAGATAGCGCCCTTCAAAAGCATTCTCGACCGACCGAATGGAGTGTTGTAATTACCTGAGAAATTTTGCGAGGTTGATTGAAAGTACAATGTTTGCAACCTCAGAGAAATGTTGTTGCACTTTGCATTGTGTCCGATCTCGCGAGACATGTCGCGAGAATATTTAGATAAATAGATGAGTTTTATCGCACACGTTTCAAATACAGTCTCGTGATATTGCTCAGAGAGATTATGTATCAATGTATACATAATGTTTAATTACATGTTAGTATATGCATTCTTCTAAGATCCATTGGAGTGAGTCTCTTGCGCGCTTAACTCGATGCCAAACTTTTATACATTGTCCATATATCAGGAAATGTATAATAATACGAAATAATGTTGTAAATAATACGATTCTTTTAAGCTTTATGCAATTTCTTGTAAATAATACAGTTCTTTTAATCTTATCAGTATATACAGTTTACTGAGAATTTAAACATTGAAACATCGCGTGGAACCGACTATTTCACCGTATCATATGTAAATAATGATTACAGCGCGTTTACACCATAAACATCAACAAATATAATTACTAAATTATAAATCAACAAGACGGACGATACGTATTTTGTTCGAAATAATTACAAGATCACTGTGTAAAACGATTGAATTTTATTATTCGGCACAAGAATTTGAGGTAATAAATCATGTAATTATCTTCTGAATGCCGGTTGATTTACCATAGAGAATTATTTTAACTGAACTTACAGTAATAGGAGATGCGCTACAAAAGCAAGTGCACATTGTTGTTACGAAATATTACGTCTTTTTGTAAGTTTTTATATACTTAGTTAATATAAATCAACCGATATTGAAATAGTATGCAATTGTTGCAATAAATCATTGCAATTATAAGAAGGTTTGACTAAGCGTCCTGAAATTAATCGCGCACCGACAAACCGCAATAGAATTCTAGTTTAAATTTATAAAATACAATGTCTTTCTTCTCAAATGAAAATTGTCAAGATAAATATACGATTGTTATACTTTTGCAAAGTAATGATGTACTTATTATATATCGTTTCCTTTCATGTCGTATATACGCAGTATTTATTGCATTTTTATTTATTCTATAAAATACAGGATTTTTTGTTTAATTTGCGTACTTTTCAAATTACACTAAACAATTATCAGACGTAATAATAAAGATATAAATATAACCTAGAATAAATAAAAGAAATATATGTATATAAAATTGAAAGATCATACTTTTCAGTTATGCAAAATAAGTCAAACTAACTTCAGAAAAAATAATGAGATGATTGAAGAAGCATTCTATTGCTTGAAGACTCTAATTTTCAAACGTATTGTCAAATATTATAGTTACTTATATTACAATATTACACAAGTATAAATTAAGGTCTGTCAAGTACTGACATTTTTTTACGAACTTTATCGAGTCGTACTATGTAAACAAAAAATTAAATACGTATATTGTTTCAATGATTTGAAAAAACAGATTTTCTTCTTTAATTTATATATCTACAGATTCCGATACGATTTTTTCTTCGAACTATTTAACGTTGAAGCAAAAACTGTCTTTTAGTTTTTGATCACTCATAGAAGAGCTCGAGTAAGTGTACAATTTTCATAAAAAAAAAAAATAGAAAGTTAAAAGTTTCCTCTTTAAGAAACATATACTTTTCATATAAGTTGCGTTCCGAAATTCATTACCAGTACTGAAAATCTATAGTTGATGTCACGTATATTAGAATTTTAGCACTTGCGGTGTGAATTTCGGAACGCAGCCATAAATGAATTTACAATGCAAAAAATTAATTGAAGTATAAAATTGAAAATTAAACGGTTACTATTATTTATTTATCTCAACATCTTTTAGCAATAAACAATAACGTTATGAATTTAATATGTCTAAAAAGTAGAGATTTCAAGCTTTTAAATGCTTCTCGAATCGTCCCGTTATTTTCTATCGAAGCTATAATTTATTGACTTTTGTTTATTTATTTGTTACAATAAAGTGAAGAACGTCTAACTTGCTGTTGAGAGTTACTACTTGAAAAGTAAAGGTACGGTCCAAGTATTGAATCGTACCACTACCTCAATCGGTAAGTACGGTGGCGGTTCGTAGCGGAAATTTCGAAACTAATTTTGCAAAAATAACATTGAATCTATCACTAATTGATTGTTTTATCCTTAAATCTATCATTACTTTGATTTTTTTTTTAATTATGATATTATACATAGCCTGAAATTATAAGTAAATCTCCTTTTCCCTGATCTTTCCTCTTTGCTCTATTTGATCCTTCTTTTCTTCATTTTCTTTTGTTGTCATTATCGTTCTCTTCTCTTCTCTTTCATTGTCCCTTGTTAGCGATATCGATCTTTGATTTGCTTTCTTTTTCAAGTTTTCCTTATTTCCCGCCATTTTTACCCATTGACCTCCCTGCTTTATACTTTCCTTTTCTGTGGAAGAATATAATCTTTTCAGGCCTCCTCCTTCTTTCTGGACTTTCATTCTTGTTTCTTCTATCTCATTCTTTTGTTTTAATAACTCCTTAAATATTTCTTGTGATAGCGCGTATTTTTCATCTATTTCTATCTCTTTGTTCGCCTGGGAGGGCACCTGTCTCCCCCCCTTCGGCTCTTTATGTGCTTTCTCAACGACACCTTCTTTTTGCCTTACACGCTATTCCTTCGATATATCAGATATTCTTTATCCCGGCCCCACAATGCTCTTAGCTCACAGCTCCTCACGTTATCTCATTCAATTTCCCTTTAATTTTAATAAAACTGTTTAATATGTCCTCAGAATCTTTACCTTTACCTCAGTCTCTCACTACTTCTCATTACTTTGATTGGTCAATGTATACGATGGCGACTCATAGCGGAGACTTCGGAACTAATTTTACAAAAATAACGAGTCTAATAATTTGCATAGTTTGTCTTCATTTAGATCCCTTATTTTCTCATAAAAATTACAAGTTTAAAGACCCGTTTATATTTAGACCCGTTAATATTTGAAATAACGTGTAAAATCTTTAGAGAGATCTGTAAATTATTAGACTATTATTAGACCCGTTATTTTTGTAAAATTATACTGCAATTCTAAGCGAATATACGAGTAAATCGTAAAATCGTAAAGTCATAGCTTACGAAAAAAACAAAAAAAGAATCGTAGATATTTACGAGTTATATGACATACGGTCCGCATAGAATTGCAGATCTACTCATAAGTTCTTATGAGTTTTACGAAAACAAGTGACGAGTTTTACGATTTTGTCTAGAATTGCAGTAATAGTTCCAAAATCCAAAATATTGCAGTATTAGTTCAAAAATTTCTGCTACGAGCCGCCACCGTACACATTAACTAATCGAGGTAGTGTGTAAGAGGAAAACTAAACGGTATAGACAAGACTGTAAAGACATATCTATACATATGCTTAGTGATAAGACAAGAACACAAGTAACTGGTAAGGAATAGAAAGAATGTACAGAGGCTTTAGCCAGATAAGCTAATACTTAATGGCTGTATATATTTCTCTCAATAAAAAAAAAAAATCGAGGTAGTGTTAGATTTTAGATAGGATCGAACAATCAAGTAGTGATAGATTCAATGTTATTTTTGTAAAATTAATTCCGAAGTCTTCACTACGAGCCGTACTTACCGACTACAATTGAGATCGCGGTGCGACTCAATACTTGGGCAGACCTTCACTTGCTAAATAGTATTTTTCAACGGCGAGTTAGACGTCCTTTTACCCTCTGTTATGACAGGCGAAGTTACAAGTTATAACTTCGCCAAAAATGATGCTATCGATTCGAAAAGCATTTTAAAGCTTAAAGTCTCTACTTTTTAGGCATATTAAACCCATAACGTTACTATTGTTTATTGCTAAGAGATATTGATTTAAATGAGTAATAACAATCGTTTTCAGCAACTTCAAACAAATTTCTTGAACCATTTCATTAATGTTTTATTATTCAAAGTTATAGTCTAATGAATTCGGTTTATTTTTTGTGGTGAACGAAATATCGCGCTGGTTCATTCCCGTATATTTGGCACAACGAAAGCAATCATTGTTAGAGTCGCGTAAGCAAAGCTTTCACTATAAAATAGATATTAAGAGAACTCTCGTTTAAATGCACACACTATTTATTTAGAATGCATAATCGTACGCTTAACATACTTGGCCTAAGGGAAATCACAATCGGTGTTTTCGGTCATTCTTCTTTTATTTTTCGCTCTCTCTCTCTCTCTCTTTCTCTCTCGCTTTCTCTCTCACTTTTTCTCTTTCTCAACCTTACACCGGATATAAATTAGAACGAATTGATTTTTTTAAGATATTCTTAGAGAATTAGAATTAACTATATATATATATTTATATATATTTATATATATATAAATGATCGTGGATATTCTTACGATGTACACACAACAAACTCACGTTTATTATCTCCTGACTCTGTTCGTTACACGAGTATAAATAATAATGTAATACCGACTTAGAAACTATTTTATTTTTTCTTCTGTTTCTCTCTCACACACACATTCATACATACGTGCATACACATACACATTTTTTTCTCTTTCTCTCTTTCTCGATTTTTCTATGGAAGTTATATCTATGAACCGTTGCGAAAAAAAATTTCGCGAGAATTCTCAGGAGCGCAATTCTTTTCCACTGATTTTTCACGCTAATTTATTTTTTACATAAGTTGCACATTGCCGACGATTCATATATTTTTTCTCTCTTTTTCTATCCCTCTTTTTCTCTTTCTTTCTCTCCCTATTTCTTTCCCGCTTTCTCTTTCTTTCTTCTCTAAATGCGTCTCAACCTCGCTCGAATATATTTGAATGATATTGTGGCCGGAAAAATAATTGTACGAATGAAAATAACTTTGGAGATTGCGAGAGCGCAGACACGCGAGTGATATATCGTATGTAATATCATGCCGATCGTCGCTATATCAACATGTCACACAAAGAACACGAATGGCATTCGTACTAACAAGTATTAACATGTGTCACAGTGGTTATTTCTGCATATTATCAAAATTTCGGTACAGCGTCGAAATGAAGAAGGAAGCATCTGGTCGTGCATCGCGATGCCGACACTGTAGGCGAAAGCAAAAAACGTCGAATGACGGAATTCGTCCAATAATAACGATAAGACGCGATCGGGATATTAATTGCAAGCATGACTGCTAACTTTCAGCATCAGGACATGATTAAATTCAACGGTTGTAAAATGTGCAACTATACACGGAAATCAATCAATTTCCGTCTATATCGCAACTTGACGTTCTCGTTCGACACGTTACGCCTCGTAAGAAACGTACAGAAGACGCGTACAGACGGACAAATCGAACTTGTTTCCGTGCAAAGCTTTCGTAACCGAAACGGTAAACGCAGTAACGGGAATGACACGATAACCCATCTCGATTTATACGCTACGGCGAACAATTGCAACGCACGGAATACTTGAGGTCCCGCGATTTCGCTCAGTCGCTTGCTCGCTCGCGAATCACCGAGATTGGGAAGGAGACGAAGAAGAAGCTCAAATCTATGGAGACGAGGTCGACGTCGACGACCACCACGGTCACTGCAGCCTCGGCGACCAATATTGCGCAGCCATGTCAGGTGCTGGTTGACCTGGTACTGCGATCGGTACGCTCACACCGGGTGATATCAGACCTAAAAGAGAATTCACGACACATTAATTCAAACAATTCCACGCACACGAAGTCAGGGAAACGAGACTGACTAAATATGAACGTGCAACGCTTCGCGCGCGACTACATCTCGCTCAAAAATTTTTTCAATGACTGTTCAATTTCGCTTTCTATTTAATTTCAAATGCTTCACAATATGAGCGATCCATATAGATGACGCTGATACGCGAGCTTATAATTTACAAACATTGCGAAACTGAATCAGCGACATTCATGAAAGGCGATCACGAGTCGCCGCGGTCGTTTCATGCGTGCGAAGGAGTGTTGCTCGCGGAAGGATTGGGCAGAAGCGTGTGTAATCCATTACCGGCGGGTTCGATAGCGTGTTATCCATGGTAGCCGTAGTAGTAGTCCATCGGCTAGAGTGCAAGCAGCGAATGCAGTGAGTGCGGTAGACACTCACCGGTCGAGCTGGCGTTCTGATTGTACTGATTGAGACCCGCCGCGTGGTAAGGCTGCGTCGGACTGCAAGTCGGCCTGGCGCCGTAGCCAAGATGCAAAGGTTCGTAGCTTGGCGGTCTCGCGACCCCGCACGAGTAGCCGTTGTCCCGTTGCTGAAGACACGCACCCGGACTCGGGCCGACGGTCATGCCGACGGTCATGCCCATCGGACTCATGCCGCCTCCAGCCGACAGCGAGGACATGCTGCTGGTTGTATGTTGATTCTGCTGACTGGCACCCGACATCGTGAAGCTCGGCATCGACGTCATTGGACTGTAATATGAAAAAATAATCATGTAGAGTCGCGTGGTTTTTTAACATTCTTTGATATTCATTATTTCGTTCTATTTGATATCGCAAAAGCAAATTGTCAGTTTTGCGAAGTATACTCCTCGACGACTTTATATTAACTTAACTTTGACGCGAGATTTTGACAGAATGGTTATTAAAAATACTTTGAAAATCGCTAAGCAAAATGCTGAAGCAGTTTCGGATTTTACATCACGAAACGTAAAAATTTAATTACTATCCTGATTTGTAACTTTTACGTATTACACGAATATTGCGTTACGTGACAAATTTGGCTATCGCAATTGTCTCTTCCTCTCAGATAGAGCTCGGCCTTCGCAGATGACGGTCAATGCTCTTCGTTCTCACCTGTACGAGTCAGGCATGCTGGGTATTCCCGGGTAGACGGCAGTGGGTGCGAATCCGTGATGTATTCTGGGCGGCGAGGGTGGTGCCTGCGGTGGCGGCTGGCCACCGAGTATTCCCGAGGGTGGCGGCGGCGTCGGGTGACCAGCAGCCACCAGATTCACGCCGGCAGTGTGTTGCTGTTGTTGTTGCTGTTGTTGTTGCTGCTGCTGCTGTTGCTGCTGCTGCGGATTGTCCCTCCGTTGTGTGCGCAATTTCTCCTCACGTCGCCACTTCGCCCGCCGATTCGAAAACCAGACCTGAGTTAGTGAACGAGAAGACAGACGAAGATACAGGTCAATCGCTAGGCTACGGAACTTTCGTGTCGGCTGATGGTCGTAGATGCAACGGTTAGTCTTCTGTACACGCGAGAAACTCGAGGATTCTAACGCCAATTCATCTGCGAATAATCTCATTAATAATCACGATATATCGTATCTTAATTTACCGATCTTCGTGGTCGGTGCTTTTTTGAACTCACGACAAGTAATAATAAATGTAATAATAATAAATGATCGGAAATAAGAAATAATTATATTAATAAAATAAGGAAATAAGGATTATTTCTCTAAAATAAAATAAGGAAACTGTATATGCACACGACGATATCTCGAAGTTATATTGTCAATTTTATGAAAATAATAAAAGCTGAGAAAAGATTGCAGTTTCAAGAGTTAAAGAGAACACGATGGGACACAATTTTCACTCAGAAGTTGCCGACCATTGTTTCTTTGCAGCCGCGACCATAGCACAAAGTCAACACGCTCGAAAAAATCGTTAACTTCATGTCAAGCGAGACTACCAAGGCGTGACGGCGCAATGATTTTCCAATGCTGAAACTCACAATTGTTCATTCTTAATGATTCAAAGCGATTCACAGACAGAGACACTCGCTGTTTCTTGACTATATTGCTGATAAGCACCGACTAATTGCTTCAGCAAGTGTCAGAAAGATCATCACGTCGTTCCCGATGTTTGTTCGACCTCGATTGTTTGATCGAGGACTGCGCAACGACTTAGTCTCACACATTACCAAATAGTCACCTGTATTCGCGCCTCGGGTAGGCCGATCTTGCCGGCGAGTCTCTCCCTGGCGAACACGTCCGGATAGTGCGTCCTCTCGAACTCCTTCTCGAGCGCGTCGATCTGCTCGTTGCTGAAGCTCGTGCGGTTCCTCTGCAACTTCCTCTTGAGACGTAGGCGCGCCTGATCGTCGTCGGCGCCACCCGACACGCTACCAGCGTTGCTGTTGTCACCCCCGCTGTTCGTCTCGTCCGAGTGCGCGCCACCCTCCAGCTCGGTTACTGCAACAATAAAACGCACCGTGCATCATTATCAACGTCTTTCGCGCGAGCGACTATTACGGGCCGGCGATCTCTTTTCCTCAATCAGACGCGATATTGCACACTCAAGTTCTCGCCCCCGGCCGCGAGAAATGCGCGTCTCTCCGACCTGGATCTCGTTTCGCGACATTAAAGTGCTGTGTTCCACTTGTGTGTGGCACGCGAATTCGAGGTCACAAATTTTTCACTGTGTTGAAATGTCGAGCATTTGCTCAAGTTAAAGTTGTCTCGCCACGTCTCAAAGATAAGGTTTCTAAATCCAAATTGACAATCGAATAGATACTCTAATTTTTCTACTGTGCACAGTCTAAATTTAATTTAAACACATTTATGAGACGGCTGTTATGCGCCTTATTTCTCTCACCTCAATACACTTACTGTGCTGCAAATAAAAACAAAAAAACTGTTGAGTTAAAGAAATTTGGAAAAACTTTTAACAAGAAACAATCCACGTGGTTTGTCGAGAAGGAAAGCTACATCGTCGAGTGTTAGCCCGGACGGCTTTCATCGAACGATATCGTCGAACAATGGGGCGAGTATCCGTCTCTCATCAACGGGCATCATCCTCAGCAAATCTGCATACGTTATTAATGCGCGATTACGAAGCGAGTCGACGTTGGTGCCGACGTCGTGACGACGGAGAGAGATCGGCGGCGCGTTATCGATGTCAGCGGGCGCGATAACACGACGCTCGATTTGGGGTTTCGCGCTCACCCCGGCTTTCTTATATCAATTCCTCTACGCGCTCACACGTACACGTGCGTGCATGTATGCTCTCTCTCTCTCATTCTCTCTGTGTGTGTGTACATGTAGACGTGCGTATGTGGGCGACGAACGGCAGCGGTATAGGCAGGCGTCGCCGGGTGAACCTTATCGTCGGTTTCTGGGTGAGCGCGTCGAGGCGTCACCGGGTTTGCTTCGACGACGAGGCGCGCGACGAGGGGATGGGGATGCAAGGTAGAGAGAGGAGAGAACGACGGTGGAGGAGCGGGCTGGAGGCAAGGGGGTGTCCGATAAGACGACGAGCGTCCCGACGCCAGTCGCCGGCCACCCCCTCACGAGATACGCCACTGTCATTCCGCGACGACCACCTCTCTCCCCGCTGCAGAAGCTCCAGTTGGTGCCTGGCGACACGTGGCGTGTCGCCGTCATCGACTCAATTATAAGTATTTTACGTAATTCCACATTATGTAGGCGATTCTCTCTCAATACGTCACTGCTCAGTATGTCACTGCTGTCAATCGCGGCGATACCAGATACTTCGGAAATGGTTTGCGATTTTTCATTAAAAACAACGTACGATCAAGGTTCTTACTTGATGAGTTGAGAAATGTACAACGAACTTGGAAAATCTACGAGTATGCAAAAAAATGATCGCAAACGTCACATAATCGCAATATATTCTCATTATCATTCTACAGCTCGAAATTTAGCTCGAAGACTGCAGGTTTTGATACACTTCATCGACCGGTCGGATAAGCTGTCAGAAAGTCATAGCTTGTAGCTTGGGAAAATCGCGAGGGTCGCTTGGCGGCGGAAGCCAGGTACAACGAAAACTCCCGTAATAATCGTCGTGTAAGCGGCAAAATCCGGGATACATCTTCGCCCCCATCCCGCCGAGGATTCGCTCGAGGAAGCTGGCTGGCAGACGGCCACGCTGGTAGCGGCAAAGTTCTCGCGCAAGGGTCGGTTGGCTGCCTCGAACTTCCCCGCGCGCTCGAGAATCGAGTGCGACGTTGGCGTACAAGTTCTCCGTACCTCCCCCTTCCCCTCCCCCCGCCACCGAGCCGCGCGCCTTCCTTATCCAGCCCCGAATTGCTCCTTCGTAACCGTGCACTGCAAACGATATCTTTAGGGGGGATGGCGGTCCTCTCTCCGTCAGTATCTACGGCGCGGGGTTAACGCTACGAGGGTGTCTTAAGCGGTAATTAAAACCGCCTTATCCCCCCTCGGCCTCTCTCGCTCCCGCACTTCCGGAGAACTCGGGGAGCAAGTTCGGCTTCTCCTTGCCGCGGTTGCTGGATGCTCCCGTCTTTACTATCACGGTCGAGTCGCGCCCTCGCCGCTTCCTCTTCGTCGTTTCTCCACGCGACGCTCTCTGCTCGCGCGAGTTTAACGCCGATGCGGAGCTCAGAGCTCGCGAGAGAGCGAGCGTACAGGCGTTCAAGGGGTGAGAAACTTGCCGGCGGAGTCACGATCCGTTACGACGACGACGACGACGGCTAAGTTGGCGTCGAAGGGGTGGCCCACCAAATAAAAGTTCATACGTCGATTCCGCGACACTCTCTCCTTCCCAAGCGTTAAACAATTATTCGCGATAACAACACGTTGTGACACGCCGAGTCGCTGGTAAACATCTAGTTTCTCGTAAGGCCTGTTTTTTTGAATTGTAGATTGACATCTTCCACTAGTCGCGGGTCTTCGTGATACAAAAATGGAGATTCCATTAAACGTTTTATTAATTAGAAAGAAGTCGCAACATTTTTAAGAGACACACTGTCTGGTATCATTCTTCACGAGTTATCATTCTTAGTAATTTTTTCTGATAGGAAGTTAAGAAAAATATTGCACTTGTCACTTTAAACCTCACACTTTGCGTTACACTAAGCCGAAATTGCTCAACAGCTCTCAAGTGACTGCGATTACCGGAAAATTAAACAGTGGATCTCTGTTTAATAAAAATTATATCCAAGAACACTTTTCCATCTAGCGCGCCAAAACGCCTGAATGGGAATCAGTCAATTAATTCATAAGTTTGTTAAAAAACTTTTACACACTTATTCACTCAACGCGAACTGTCGGCGGTGATCAATTCGGGGCCTTTTGCAGCCGTTTTCAATAGGCTGTTGAGTAAGTTATCGTTGCACGTCCTTCCGGTAATGGTAACAAATCATCCGATGATACCTGCTTGTATTCTTTAACAAGGCTTAGCTTCAAATCTTGAAGATTTAGCTGAAAGTGTCGCGAATCTGTCTGCGCGACCTACGTGCGATGGATGAACGGATGAACGGAGACGGAGGCCAAGGGAAGACAAAGAACGAAAGAGAGAGGGGTAGAGACCCTCCTGAGTCTCTCATCTCCGTACTGAAGAAGAACGTTCGGAAGGCAGGAGCTAGACGCGGGACCATTTTGCTCGTGGGGGGAATCCGCGCCATCCAGACAGCTTCTCGTTTCCCCGGTCCCCTCGCGTTTCTAACCCCCAACCAGATCATTCGCATCTTCCTTCGACGAATTATCCACCAACCGGGGGCTGCCGCGCGTTCGAGCGTGATGGCGGAACTACGTTCGAGGTTTAATCTACCGACGTCGTCGCGTGCACTCGGTATTTCCCGCAAGACTTTTCTCGCGAGATCATCGCGCGATCGAGTCGAGTTCCTGCGTGAAAATTTCTACCGAGAAACGCGAAAACGCGATAAAATGAAGATAAGTACGTTGACGAGCTTAAAAGAGACGTAGCGAATTTTTTGGTATTTTTACCACAACAAAACACAAGTGCGCGCCATTAGCTTTCATTATACGTACGTGAGCAGTGAAAACCATAAAAAAATTGTAATATTTATTATCTTCCTTTTAACCTTTCTTTTTACTAATTTACTTTGATTCCCATTAGACTCGCGTCACTGTTCTAATCCAGAAGACCTACTAGATAGAGTACGTCAGGTCATGATTCTTTCGAACGATATCTTGCTCAGAATCGCAAAGATTAAAATGACATGGAAGTCATTCGTGGTCGCTCAAAATGCGTCGTGAATTTTCTCAATCGAAATTTGCGAGAAGTCGCGCGCGCAGAATCTATCCGCGGCGGATAGGGGTACCCGCTAATGTCGATAATGGATGCACTGGGTGGTGCACTTAGCTAAACGCTTTAAAGACCGCGATAGACGAAGGACGGAGAGGGCGATATTGTTCGCGCGAGCACATTCGCGCGCGCGGTCGCGACAATACCGCGCTATTGCGGAGCCGCATTGTGGCGGGCGGTATCGGTAGTTTACTTTCAATCGTCGCGCGATCGGCTCGGAAGGATCGTCGAGAGCCAGCCAGTAAGAATAACAAGAGCACAGGGAGAAACAAAGGGTGCCGAATGGGGGAGACGATTCGAGCGCGAGAGGAAACAGGAGATCGCTGAAAACTCTCCCTCTTCCCTCGAAAGTTTCTGTTACCCCCGTGCCCTTCTGACTCCACGAGAGTCACTCAAGTTGGAAAGGAAAAAAAGAAAGAATGAAAAGAAAAACACACGGCAACGGAGGACCTCGAGTCTTCGGCTCCACTAACCCCCTCGTGACCGCGGTGGAACGTACAGCGAGGTCAAATGCATGCGTCGCACGGGGTCGCTCGATGATTGCGGCAAACAATGCTACACTTACGCAGTGAATCGCGACGGTAAACGGTGCACAGTCCACTCGTGCGCGCACGCACCGTTTGTCACCGTCGAGAAATCACGAGGAGAGACCGGAGATCGCGCTGCCTCCCTTCGTCCTCTCGAGCAGACGAATAACACAACGGCGCGCGCAAAAGTGGCAAACGCTAAGTGGTCGTCAGCTTCCAGAGGTTCGAGCTTCGCCAAGGCGCGATTAACGCGGCTCGTTTCCTCCACAGAGAGGAGGAGAGGAACGAAACGCAGACTCGTGCGCGCGACCAGGAGAAGTGTGTTCAACGACCGAGGCACGCGTGAGCGCGTTTGTCCACCCTCTTCTCTCCTCCTTGCTTGGTGCGCTCCTGCTTGCACTTCAATTGTTCTTTGAATGCGTTTGAATCAAGGAATTAGTGCTTTATTATTTCCGCGTAATTATTAAAGAAGCATAGCGTCTTGTAGTCTCTTTACCCACTGGCTGCTGTTGACGTCTGAAAGAAATCAATCTCCCGACAATATTTTTCCTTACACTGAGGAAAAATATTTGAAAATAAGGAATATTTATTCGATTACTAATAACATATTCACTTGCACCAACATAGATATTTTT